TGTGGCTGCTGCTATATCAGCCTAAATAGCAAAGGAAGACAAACCTAGAAAGGAGGAACAGGCTTGATCTTGAGGAGATGATTATCTTGCACAACAACAATTTCTAAGAAAAAAATGGATTAATTATTTCCTATTTCCAGAACATAGGATAGCAAACACATTGAAAATGATGACTTTGCAATATGAAATTACTTTTTAAAGGTAGATATTATCCTAATCACTACTAAATAATCATTTTCAGAATATAGCAAAATTTTAAAACTCTTTGAATGAAATTGATAATTAGTATTTAAAATTTATCACAAATTGTCATAATAACTAATTTGAAAATAATGGTCGCAACAGTTAGTTGATAATTATATAATTTTTAAAATATGAGTATTGTAATTTAATTACGAATTTAAAAGTAATAATAATTTATTGCATTAAATAAAAAAATAAATAATTATCACTAAAAATAATCAGTTTTTTTATCATTTCCTACCAATTAAATCAAGTACCCAATGATTAAAAAATATATCCCTTATAAAATTGATTTATTCTCAAATAAATCCATTAACTCATCTTTGTATTCAATTTATTTAAAATAAATGGCTTTTTTATAAAAAGTTTTTTATTTTTTTTTGGTTAAATGTTCATATTTTTTTGGGTGTGTACATGAAGTTTTTTTTTTTTTGAACCGCGGGGGGCCACACTGCTGAAATCATAGGCTTGTTCTTCTGTGACGCCGTCCCCATTATTTAAGTGCTTTATTTGGGAAGAACAAATCGTGCTTCTTATTATTTGTTAACTTTAATTTTCTTTATTTAAGGTGACGCTAAACAAGTTGAAGTGTATACATATATATGTATATTAAATGAGTAAATAATATATATATATATATGTGTGTGTGTGTGTGTACACACACATAAGTACAAATATGTTTACATAGATACATATAAATATATATTTATATCAATATAAATATATATATTGGTTAGTTAGGTTGGTTTTTAGATCAAAATAAAGCATAATTTTAGATTTTTTTTTAAACAAAACCAAACTAAAGTAAATTTAAAAAATCTAAACCAAAGGGCTTCATGTCTAATTAATAAACACATAGCCCAATTCTAGTTCTTCCATGAAATTGAATAAGCGTTTTCTTCCCGTGTAAAAATTTAAGAAGATTTAGTTATATAACAATTACATATTGAATTTTTCATAGGTAAAAATAGTTAGTTTCTTCTAGAACAAAAGTAGTTATTAATAAATTATTTCCCTATTATCACGGGAAATGACTTATTATTTAACTGAAATTACAAAGATTTGTTTTCTGTCACTAAATTCACTAAATTTCTGTTGCTAATTTTTTTATCACTAATTTCTGTTGCTATATTAGCAACAATTTTTTACCGATGGATTTTTTTGTTAATAAATCTGTCATTAATTAGATTTAATGTAGATTTTACTGATTTAGCAATAGAAAATTTTTGTTATTGAAGGTCTGTTTTCTTATAGTATATAAGGTCAAAGGAACCCCTCAGAAGGGCAACATTGTAAAAATTTTATTAATTTACTTAATATTTTCATATGGTTAAAAAATTTAAAAACCATATCGACCCGTACTAAAGACGAATAAAACTGAAATAATAGAGTTGGTAGAAAAAAATATGATTTTGGTTTTGATACTAAAAGAACCGAATAAAATTGGTATATTATAAATATATGAAAAAAGCAAAAAAAAAAAAAAAAAAACCGTGATCGTTCATAATTATAGTGTAAACCACTGTAGGTTGTGATCTAAAGTATGTAGGGTGTAAAACATGTTAAATGACAGATATAGTGGTTAGAAAAATAGCAGAATTAAATGGGATATTTGCAAGCGTAAGAAGTGGTTGTAAATTAGTAAACAAGAATATTCACTAGTCATGTGCATTGAACATGCAGGATTAGAGAAGACAGGTAACTAAACCTTGAGTTGAAAATCTTAAGCAGCAACAAATAAGGCCAATTTGAACGCCACTAGTTTGTTAAAAAGATTGTCAAATTGGGGCTGCCACATTAATAAACTTCAATAAACAATGACAACAAAAATGGCAATTTGGTTTTCTAACTTGTTTTACACGGCAATTAATGACTTGGGCATTTTTTTCTACAACAACTAAAATGACTTGGGCTTTTTTTTTCGAGAATATTCTATCCGTGTTACGCTTTTGTCCTTTCTCCATCTCCTCCGTTCAATTTGAGAAAACAATCTCTTAATGCACATTTGTTTCGAAGCCAGCCAACAACTCTTAAATGGAATCGGCAACGTCACACAAATGGAATTGCAAGTTTGGAAAACAAAACAACTTCTATTTTCAAAGCGCGGAGAAATATAACTCAATAAATTACAAGTATCAATGGTCCACAATTGAAGAAAGAGGTAGGTATACCTATATCCATGGCTTTTTGCAGGTGATTTCAGCCTTGATTGACTCATTATATTTGTGGCTGCTACTATATCAGCCTAAATAGCAAAGGAAGAAAAACCCAGGAGGAACAGACTTGATCTTGAGGAGATGATCATCTTGCACAACAACAATTTCTAAGAAAAAAATAAATTAATTATTTGCTATTGCCAGAACATAGGATTGCAAACACATTGAAAATGATGACTTTGCTATATGAAGTTACTTTTTTAAAGTAGATATTATCCCATTATTGAATCACTACTAAATAATCATTTTCAGAATATAGCAAATTTTAAAATCTTTGAACGGAGTTGATAATTAGTATTTAAAATTTATAACAAATAATCACAATAACTAATTTGAAAATAATACTCGCATATAAAAATATGAGTATTGCAATTTAAATATGAATTTAAGAATAATAATTTATTTTGTTAAATAATAAAATAAATAACTATCACCAAAAGTAATCAAATATTTTATCATTTTTCTACCAATTAAATCAAGTACCCAATGATTAAAAAATATTTCTCTTATAAAATTGATTTATTCTCAAATAAATCCATTGATTCATCTTTATATTCAATTTATTTACATTAAATGGCTTTTTTATAATTTTTTTTTTTATTTTTTGGCTAAATATAAACTTAATTTTTTGGGGGGTGCGTATGTGGGGGATATATATATATTTTTTTCTGGGTGCCCCTAGCCGCGGGGCCCCAAATTGCTGAAATCATAGGCTGGTTGTTCTGTGACGTCATTCCCATTATTTAAGCGCTTTATCTGGGAAGAACAAATCGTGCTTCATCTTACTTGTCAACCTTAATTTTCTTTATTTAAGGTGACGCTAAACAAGTTGAAGTGGCCATCAATTAGCTTTCTTGGATGCATGATCGGATGCTATTTGCAGTTGTTGAAATGCCAATTTTCATATGCCCAAAATGTTATTTCCACTTGCATACTATCTATCCACACATGAAGTTTGCCGTGGTTGGTTTAATAAACTAAACTTTTGTTAATAAACTAAACTTCGTGTTTCTTTTAAAAATCATATAGTAATAAAATAATAACAACTATCTTTTTTTTTTCAATTCTTTCAAAAATATTTATAAATCCATCAACAAATTGTAGTTATTCAAAAAACTAAATAAATGAAAACACTCTTAATACGAGGCATTTTTTTAAAAATGAAAAAAATGATCTCTTTCGGAACTCTATACAGTTTTGAAAATTTAGTTTTTGAAATTATTTTCAAAATTAATTTATTTAAGAAAACAGCTTTAATCCATTCGTTTTGTTGACTCAATAGTAAATCACAGAACTCTGAAAATGGGTAGCTTACCGCATATTTGATTTAGGTTTAGGAAGTTAAATTTACAATAGAAGCTGGCAATTGAGTTGGAGAAGGTCACACCTATCAAACGTCTAAAATGTGAACACGCACATCCATGGGTAAGTAGGTAAGATGGTTATGTCTATATAAGGAGACTAAAATGCCTCCAAGGTAGGACATCAAAGCTGTGAAAGACACAACAAGCTAGTACCAACAAAACTCCTCTATCAATAGCTCCACCATGGGAAGCCCTTCACTCAGGTATTATTTCATTCAATTTGCTCCCTAATACAATTAAACCACGGAAGTTTATTAGAGATCTTCCTAGAACAATGTAAACCCAAAATGTAGCCCTCAGATATTCTATTGCCTGTTAAATTGCTGGAGTTGCTTGCAATTTGTATCTTTTTATCCATAGACACAAATATACTTGATTTTATTACTTACTATTTTGTGGGTTGATCGTCTGTGACTTAATGGATAAAAAAATTATTAACTTTTATCAATATTTGTATAATACTGTTCTTATTTGTTAATATAAAACACTAAAACCCTAACTTATTATGATCTTATCTAGAGCCTATGTATGAAATTTTGGTTAAGTAAACATCAAATTCAGTTTTAATTTCCTGTTTGTCAATAGCTTATATTAACCACCATGTCAAAGAAAAAAAAAAAGAAAAAAGAGGTACATTAAATAAATAAAATTAGATTTTCTCCTACTACTTAAGAATAAGCATGGTATAATTTCTAAGACTGTGCAAACCAAAATCTTGGTTTGGCTATTGATAATTAAGTTTGAATTTTTGGTTTTTTGGTTTAGGTATTTTAAAAATTAAGCCAAACTAATTTAATTATAAAACAAAAGGAACCATTCAGTTTGGTTTAACTTGGTTTTAAAATTGATTTATTTCTTTTTAATAATTATTTAAATGAATTATTTATTTAATTATTTATTGCCATATATAAAATGTTTTGGAATTTTATAAGAGAGAAAATTTTGTTGAGGAGAAATATTTCTAGAATTTTGGTTTATGGTTCAAAATGGTTTGATTTGAATTTTATACCAAAACAAACCACAAATTTGAATAATTTTTCTTGGATGAAACCAAGCCAACTTAAATTATTTCTCACTCAAGACATTAATTAATAAAATAACTAGCTCCTAAATTTGTTACAATAAAAGAAACTTAAAAATTTACTCTGCATTCTACACTTGGCCTAAACCCATTTAGCGTGGAAGGATCAGATTAGGGGGCAAGGTGGCCCTGATCACCGGTGGAGCTCGTGGTATTGGAGAATCTATCGCTAGGGTATTCGCCAAGAATGGAGCCAAAGTGGTAATCGCGGATATCTTGGACAACAATGGCCGCTTAGTGTGCCAAGACTTGGGTCCAGAAGTGGCCAACTTCATCCACTGTGATGTGACAGATGAGTCCCTTGTAGAAAATGCAGTCGACACCGTTGTGGCCAGGTACAGCAAGCTCGATATAATGGTAAATAACGCTGCTGTTGCGGATGAGACACAACCCAGCATTTTGGATAACCGCAAGTCAGAATTTGAGCGGGTCGTAGGCGTCAACCTCACTGGTGTCTTCCTCGGTACCAAGCACGCAGCCCGGGTAATGATCCCCGCCCGAAGGTAAAATTGCTTGATGCAATGTTGGTTGTAATTTGAGGGCAGATTTATGATATTATATAAACATTTGAAATTTGACCATACTATTTTTTTGGTTCACATGCGTAGCGGCAGCATCATCACAGTGGGAAGCGTCTCCTCTACCGTGGGTGGTGTGGCGTCGCACGCCTATACGAGTACAAAGCATGCCGTGGTGGGGCTTACAAGGAACGTGGCGGCAGAGCTAGGCCAATTCGGCATTCGAGTCAACTGCCTCTCGCCGTACTTTATTGTAACGCCACTGACGATGAACTTTTTTGGTATCAATGATTCTTCAGGCGTTTACTCGAACCTCCAAGGAATGGCTCTCCGAGAAGAAGATGTGGCTGAAGCTGCCCTTTTTCTGGGAGTGACGAGTCAAGGTATGTGAGCGGGCACAACCTAGCGCTGGACGGAGGTTTCACTGCTATAAATCCAGCTTTTGGCTTGTTTGCAAGGTCCAAATAAGCTTCTTTTGGTAGTGAATTGTTCCAACTTGTTTACAAAGACAATAATTGTTCAATAGCATGTAACATTGATGTATTTTGTGTCTTCTTGGGGTTCATTCAAAATTGAAAAATGTTTGGCTTTATTAAAAATCTGCCCATAAAGTATGAAATTTGTTTGATTAACTGATTTATTTTTGATCTACTCATTCAGCAGTTTAGTCAAAAAAGTTAATATGTTAATCTAACTTGTCCATTCATAGCCTTTTAATTTTGAAATTCAAAAAGTATGATATCTTAATTTACCCAAAAATATAAATGTAAATGTCAAAAATCAATCCACCAAACAGAGTGCCAAGTGCATAATAATTAGGAATATTAACACTACAACAAAAAAAAATATCTTTAGTAGCAATTAATTAAAAGTAATTAAATAATTACCATTAATTTGTGTAAAATTGTATTATTTAATGGCAATTATATGATTGACCACTATTTTTTTCCCAAATAGCAATTATAACCAGTGGCCACTAAAAGTCATATAAATGTCAAATTATAAAGGATGAAGGCTTATTTAATTTTCCTCCTAATAAAAAATAAAAAAAGAAAATATAAGAATTTATTTTTTAAATATTATTGCCACTCTCTCCAAGATAGTCTTGAGCTTAGACTAACAACTCTTTCACAGGAACTATTGCACTTTAAAAATTAATTGTCAATTGCCCCTCTTTCCTTTTACTTTTCCAAGAGAGTAGTATAAAAAGTTCCCATTGTGTGTATGTGTATATATATCAAGCCGATCCTGCAAGATTTAAACCTCACTCCTCAATTTGCTTCTTAGTGATATAGAGTTAGCGCTCTCCAACAGCAATAGCAGCAGCAGCAGAGGTTTCTATTGGAGGTACGAATTAAGAACTTAGCAACTCAGATTGCTTTATCATAGGATTAATGCCAAATCACCGAGTTAGATCTGTGCTTGCTTGGTCATTTTTGTGTAGCCATTTGCGAAGCAGAGCTAGGGCATGAAGAATGGAGAGTTTGAGGGAGATTTTGAGGCATCCTGATGACTTTTGCACTTTGTTGAAGCTAAAGATGGAGGTGAAGCACCTGGAGAAGTAGGTTTCGCTAAAGCGTCACTAGCGGTTTTGTTACAACATGCTTCGAAGGTGTCTTGAAGCTTCGCCCTCCTGATTCAGCAGCTCAACAGTGATCTTCACAACACAGTAAGACACACATGCTCATTGTTCATTTCTCGTAGCTTTTCTTTCTTTTAAAAAAATTATACACATTGACATTTGGATTATATTTTATTATATACATTTCATACTTAAAAGTATAGAGAAAGTGAAAGTGACCCAATGACACAAAAATGTGAAATTAAATTTGAACTATCAACTGGATCTGGTTAAAGTGAGACATTTCGTTTTGGCAACCAAGAGTTCTGGATATTGGAGCTCATTTCTATTCAAAAAAGCCACAGTAATCACTTCATGACCTTTCCTTTCCTACAGGAGAGTTTGTCGAATTCTCTGTCATTTGTGTGAATATAACTACATATAGATAAAGATTACACATATGCGTATACATGAAGAGAGAATTTGATAATTATTTTTTAATCATTGGAGAAACTGAAGCATTATAAATTTGATATAAGATTATGCACTCACTTGCACAAAGTGTATGGGTTTAGACCCCTGAATCAATCAACAATGAGACAAAAGGTAGTTATGTGAAACTAAATAACATAACTGCAATAATAGAAGTCCATATGGTTCATAGGTGTATCGATAAACCAACATTAGCACATTATAAACTATCTAGATTTCTGACAAAACATTATCAGCACAATAGCAAGAATAATTGACTAGCAAATGGTGAAGAAGATTCAAGCTGCAGTGGGGATGAGGATGTTCGGATACATAATGACCAAGAATCCCAACTCCAAGTTTCTAATATACTAAAGTGACAAATATTCTCCTCTTACTCTCTTTCTTTTCTCTTCTTTTCTTTTTTTTTTTTTTTTTTGACGCTTCAGATTCCTGTTTTGTGCCTTCCTTTTTCAAAAAAAGGGTTCCTGATAGATTTTGGATTTATGTTGATTGTTTGATTTGTTCTATGTGACTTCTTATATTTTTCCATCGAGTTCTGATTGCCATTTTGATGCATGCTTACCTCCGAACAAAGGTTACATGTTGTCTTTGAAGACGAGGCTTGTACTTTAGTTATTGTATAGATTTTCAGTTTCAACATAAGTGTATTTATGCAGGTATTGGAAATTAACCTTGTTCCTTTTTCTAATATTGCGGATGCTATTTTAGCAAATGGAATGTTTAGTCATTATGACTGTCCTCGCATTGTTCAACTTTGTGAAAAAGTTGGTCTTTATGTGCAGGCTCTATAGGTAAAAAAACGACTTAAGTAATTTCAATATTTTTATAATGGAGTGCTATGCACTGTATTATAATAGTTACCTTTTTTGCTACAGCACTTCTCTGAATTGCCAGATATTAAACGTGTCATTGTGAATACTCATGCAATAGAGCCACAGGCTTATGTTCACCACTACTATTTTCTTTTTGCATGTTGTTGAATTAAAAGGCCTGTAATCAGGATTTCATTCATTACAGGCTCTTGTAGAGTTCTTTGGTACTCTATCTCGTGAGTGCACATTAGAATGCAAGAAGGACCTTCTGTTAATGAATCTAAGAGGAAAACTCTAGATAATTGTGTAGGTACCTATTTCTATTTGCTTGGGCACAATATGCTTTGTATTTATATTTTTTTTCTCAGAAATTTGTGATCTGTGAGTCCACAGGTTGCCGAGTATTTTGAGTAGTTGGGAGTTGATGCATGTATTAAACTCTTTGACCAATTCAAGTCATATAAAGGGTTGTACTTCTTCCTGGATTCCTATTTGAGCTCCAGGTAATCCAATTAGAAAATAAGGCACTCACTTCTGCTTGTTATGAGGTACTGTTGTTTGTGACTGTTGTTTACTAAGCTCTTTCTTTGTTTTTGGTTATAGTGAGGATCCTCAGATTCACTTTAGGTACATTGAGGTAGCTGCCAAAACTTGCCAAATCAAAGAGGTTGAGCGTGTGACTAGAGAATCAAATTTCTATGATCTTGAAAAGACGAAAAACTTCTTGATGGAAGCCAAGCTTCCTGATGCACAATGTAATAACCCAAATTTTTAAATAAATAATAATTAATTAAATTAATAATTAGGGGCTTAATTGTGAAAATTAGAAGTTTGGGTGCTTAATTTGGGAATATTAGAAATTTGGGGGTTGATTTGGGAATTCTGGAAAGTATGGGATTTCATTGAAATTTTGTCAGGGACTGAATTGAAGAAAAACAAAATTTGAGGACTAGATCTAAAGAAAACAAAAATTTGGTCCAAATTGGTGGCCGAAGCTTTTGACGCCAAATTCGCCACGATGGTTGAAGTTTTTGGTAATTTGTTCACACCGCCGCCTGCGTGTTTAAGAGAGGAACGAAAGCCCTCTCTCAATTTTGGAAATCGGTTGAGTTTAGAGAGAGAAATTGAGAGTTTTCTACAAACGGGTTTGTCCGTGATTCGTGAGGAGATTTTGGAAAAATTTTGATGATTTATTGGTTTTTGATCCGATTATTGGGCGTAGTTCAACTCGTTCTGCTCATATCTACAAATTTCGGGTGTGGCTTGATAAGGTAAATGGGTTTTTCTATTTTATTTCAAATTTTTATGATTTATTTTTGATTGTTGGAGTTATAGACCCGGTTCTGTGAACCGGGTCTATCAAACCTAGAATTTCTGGGTGAATTGGGTGGGACCCAGATGGTTCGGGTCCCCTGCGCGGGCTGCAGGCTGTTCGGGCCATTGGGCTCGGATTGGCCCACCAGGCGGCCCGCGAAATGGAAACCGCAGGCCGGCCTGTTTCAAAAAAAAAAAAAAAAAAAAAATGATGTTGCGGGCGGCAGCCTGAGCCGACTTGGAGCCAAGCCGAGCCGGCTCAGCTTAAAAAAAAAAAAACAGTTGATTGAACCGGCTAGTGGCTTTGACCGGCCAGTTCAGTGGTCAAACGACCTCAAAATTTGGAAGTTGAACCGGTTCTGGAATCAGGGAGAAAAGACCTAATGAATTGAGTTGGTTCGGGGGTTCAGGGAGGTCTAGTTTGACCAAAAATTTAGTGTTTTTGATTGAATCGGCTCGGTTCAAGAAAATTAATGATAAATTAGCCGTTCAGCTTTATTTTTGGCCCATTTCTGACCAGTTCATAGTGGTTCTTAAGGTTTTTTGGTCTTCTGAATCTGATTTTGAGGGTTTTGTGGTCAAACGAGTTTAGGATGAGGTAGTTTTAGGCCGATTTAGGCCAGTTCAAGGGTTTTTGGCGATTGGTTTATTATGGTTCAGGATTTTAAGGGCTGGTTCACCATTGTTAAGGGTTATGAGTGGAAATTGACTATATTAATGAAACACATGAGTCTTATGGTGGGTTTTGGCACCTTGGGATGCGTGCTAAGGGTCCCGGGGTGGTATTTGAGCTAGTCCGGGCTACTGAGCCCGTTTCTTGTGCTGATTTTAGTTTTGGTGATGGTTTTGTGTAGTTTTGACTATAGATACGACTGAGGAGGTACACCTAGACTAGTGAGTCGAGTGAGGGTGACTCGAGACTTCTCTATTGTCTTGATTCCTTTACTGTGAGTGATGATACCTTCTCTATGCCTGTGTTTTCATACGGTGATTTTGGCATGACTGATTTATGTTTTCTAAACTGTATTTTGATGTATATACATACGGGATATGTGTTATGTGATTTGGTATATGGTCAGTGAGCTATATTGGTATGTGATACTGGTTTGAGATTTTGAAATGTATATGTATGTATTATTCGAATTGTATATGAGAGTTATGTTTGGTATTGAGGTTTGGTGCCCTGATGGGTGGCTGCTGATAGGGGGCAATGTGAACCCGATTGGGTGATGGGCATCTGATGTGATATTGATTATGATTATGGTTATGATGCCTATGATTAAGGCTGAAATATTGTGATATGATATTTACACCTAACATATGTATGATTTGATATTGAACTGCTCACTGTATTTATATGTGCTAAAAATAGTTTTGAAATTTGTGATATGATACATATCCCAGCATGCATAGACTAGGTTTCATCTGTACTCGCAAGTTTCGCGACTCATCCTTTTATTATCATTCCAATCAGGTTGACTGTTCGTATTCCAGTCATGAGGATTTGTCTTGAGCTTTGAAATTCAATCGATGTACAGGCACATTTATTTATGTTTCTATTTTGTACTCTAGAGACTCCTTTGTTATTCTCAAACAGGATTCTGGTTTGTATTTGAGGATTGAGTTTGTATGACATACTTGATATTACTCATATGATATGATGGTTTGAATCATGTGAGATGGTCTTGAGGCTGACTAGGGTCGGTGGGCCCTAGTGACGGTCACGGGCCCGGGATCGGGGCGTGACACACAACCAACCACTTCAAAATGTGTGTGATTGTTTTGGGTTTGTTCTTGACCTCACCCATTACCCATAGTCAAACAACATGCTACATTATATTGAAGGTTATGTTCAAAAGGTATGAACTTGTTGAGGACCTTTGGTTGCTTGGAAGTCTTGTGAAGATTATGCCACTAAATTTTTTTTTTTGGCTTTCTCTAGATAGGTAAACCCAAGAAATGCTCCTTTAGTTGTTGGGCAGCTATTGGGGATTTCATGATTCAATCCAATGTTGGCTTCTTATTAGAACAATTGGTCATGATTTAATCTACCAACTTTAATCATGTTTCTTCAAGTAGTCTAGTTGCCTTTTCCTTCACTAGGTTGTGGAAAATAGGGACTGAACTAAATGTTGGTGCAGGTTCAAGTAGCATATTTGAAACATTGCAGTTGGAGAAGTCATTAATTGTGGTAGCGAATGAGGATTTAATGGACAATCATCAAAGTGAGTTAATAGAAGAATTAGCAGAAAGGAAGCATTTGTTTTATGCCCGTCAAGGATATGAGTTTGGAGATTCACATCTTCTTACAAATTAATTTTTTGTAGACTATACGTGCAATAAGGCATTGAGTAAATGGAATTTCTCTACTTTTAGTGATAGGAATTTAAATTCCATATTTTATTAGTTATACTTTGAAATAATCTCTTCGAATTTTCATGTATTTTGTTTCTAGTTATGATAAATTAAGTTTGTAAATTTGATTGGTATTTTTATAATATTCCTTTTAGGTATAATATATTATAACATTTCTTTCAATATCTTTATTCTTAATTAATTGATACTTTTATAATTTTTTTTTAGTACTTTTTATGTATTTTTATAATGACTATTATGTTGTTGAGTAGGAGACTATTAGTGATAATAACTATTATTGTTATAAAGAAAAATTTGTAGTAGTAATAACAATTATTGTAATAAATTAGAACTTGTAATAGCAATAACAATTGACAGCATATAATTGTTATTTTAAATTAGGGTTTTTAGTAGCAATAGCAGATATTATTATAAATTAACATTTGTAGTAATAATAACAATTGTTGGTATATAATTGCTGTTATAAAGTAAAATTTTTAGCAACAATAAATAAGGTTTTTTACTAGTAAAAGTATAATTGTTGTTACAACATTTTAGTGACACTGGATACAAGAATAATAATTTAATTGCTGGTAATGTTTTTACCAGTAATAAGAATTGTCACTAATATACAATATAATTGCTACTAAAAATATTATTTGTTGTAGTGTAATTTCTTGCAGTTGTTAAAGGGTTACGTCTAATTTTAGTCCCTAAACTTGTTTGTAATGCTTAATGTTGTTCCTCAACTTGAAATTGGGGTTTGAATTGTTAGCAGGGAATTGTTCATTGGCTTCTGAATGTTTGTCTAGATCTCTTTTTGAATAAATTTTAGTAAAAATAATAAAAAAGTAGTGTAGAAAATTTTAATCTTAATGTTATTTTTATCATGGTTAAAAGGTATATAATATGGTTAAAGGGCATTGAGATTTTCTGTTGTTTTTATTGTAATGTATTAATATCTATTAGAATAATTTCAAATGAGCACTACAAAAAAAAAAAAGAGAGAATTAATAACCACCCATTAGTGACCTCATAAATCGATCGCTGATTCGTGACTGCATAGTGACCTACTAATAACTGACTCTCTTCTTTTTGTAAAAAAATATAGCAACCAATTTGTAACCCATTATGTGACCTCCAATTACGACGACCATAAATCAGTCTCAAAATTAGCGATCATTGTTATATTAGTTATTAAAGGGCCAATAATTAGTGACTGAATTTGAGACAGTTACAAAATGATTAACTAATTAGTGACCCCATTTTGGTCAGTCACAAATTAGATCATTAATTAGTGACTCTATTATAGGTGGTTACAAATGAAGTGCCTAATTAGTGACCCTCCTTTAGGTGGTTACAAAGATGGTCACTAATTAGTGACTCCAATTTATGCAATTATTATTGTAGTCGCTATTACTTCACTCAATGCACCTTTGCTCCGGTCACTAATTAGTGACTTTAGTTTAAGCAATTACCAAAAAGGTCATTAATTAGTGATCCATTTTTGTGTTGTTACAAAAGAGGTCAGTTTTTTTTTTTTTTTTTTGAAATTCAATATTTTAGTCACATATGGGTTGAAATTATATAAAAATGAGTTATAAGATTCAAACCATGATCTATTTTTTC